TACAGGCTCGGCAAGGGGAGCTTTGTCCCTACCCCCCAAATCCTTCCTCACACCACCTGATCCGTCTCAGAGAGGAGAGCTGTGCTCACATGCAGATTTCCCTTCCCTGTTCAGGAACACACTATTTTTTGCTGCATACATTTGTTGAAAGATTTTTCTAGGCCCTGAAGTCCCCAGCTTTTAAATAGACTGAGGCAGCTATAATGTCTCCGAGTTAAAATGTCAATTACTTTAACCAGATTATTAGGAAAAACAAAGTCAGTGCATGAAGTGGCACAGCTGGGCCCCAGGCACTGGAGCAGACAGTAACAAGGAGTCCTTGTTTGTGGAGACTAACCCCACTGAGATCCATCACGAAGCCATCTATCCCTTTGGAAGGGGGGAGGCCAAACCCTGCTGACACTTTGGGAGCCAGTCCATCCTGACGCAGCTCGTTTCACCCACGGGACCATCCCTCAATGTCCTCAGCCTTTAAAGTCAGTAAGTGAGCAGCTTACGAGAAGCAAAAGGCATCTGAGAGGCTCCAAGTGAGCCCCAGTCAGCTGTTTACTGCCCCTCAGAGATGGCAGCTGGCCCTGTTTGGGAATTAACTGGGACGTAAACAGGATGCAGATTGAGTTGGGGTTTGTGCTGTGACTGGTCGACACCTCCACTCCCCTGAGCTGGGAAACGCCCGAGTGACACTGAACAGCACGGAGAGTTTCCTTGACAAAGGCAGAAGAACAAGGGAAGCAAGGTTTAGTTCCACAAATAGATCAGCTTCCTGCAGTGGCTGCCAGGAAGGCAGCAGGGTTTTTATTTAAGTGGCTTTTTGCCCTCGGCTCCAGCAACGTGTGTCAGATACCAGCTAAAAAACCAGAACCTGCCTCTTACCTGACATACTTGGAGAGCGGAGGCTTCAGGCTGTGCGTGGTTGATATCCCTGAGGAGATGTACCTGTCCCTCCTCCTCTCGATCCGGCGCACGTTCACAAAATCCCTGAGCAAAGCAAGGGCAGGAACTGCTTTAACAGGGCTGGGAAGGAGCAGATCCTGCTCTAGGGGCTGCTGGGAAAGGCTGTGGCAGAGCTGTGTCAACACGGGGACAAAGTGCCGAGCGCTTCTCAGGGAGACCAACTGAGACAGATTTGGAGATCTGAGATGCCTGCCAGAAAAGTCTGGAGGAGAATCCAGGAGCTCCTTGCCTTGCGGAGTGTTGCTGCAGAGCCAGCCCTGCTGCACCCACCCTGGGAGCTGCTAGTGGGGGCAGAGCTTGGGGAGCAGAGCTGGGGGGGGGTCAGAGCTTGGGGAAGGGGGGGTCAGAGCTCTCCTGCTGCCCTCAGACTCCTGAGGTCTTTCAGGAGGGTGCTGAGGGGCTCAGGGCCAGACACTGGAATCAACTGACCTTGGGGACACCCCCCCCCCTGCAGCCCCAGCTGCCACATCATAGGACACGATGGTGTTGTCTTCAATCCGCTGCAAGATCTGGGGGTGGAAAGAAGAGAGATTTCCTCAGACTGTGCCCCCAGGTGGTGGGGACCCTCCCCTAAAACAGCACCAGGATTTGGAGGAACTGCAGTGTCTTTGGCAGCTGATCTGGGGCTGAGGGGGACGAGCCCTCAGGCAGCGTGTGCCCAGCTTTGTCTCCTTCCCTAGGACTGCCTTTTGGGGTGGGCAGGGGGCACAGACCTTGGCTCTGGATCCCACCAAGACCCAGCCACGGGCCCAGCCCAGGGGCTGCAGCTGGCGGCCGGGCGGGGAGCGCGGCTGAGCGGCGCGGATTTAACGCCTCGGTGCCTGGGATCCAGCTCAGCTCCACCAGGCCCTGGGCACGGCCACTCTTGGACTGGGAAGCTCCAACTCTCCGCTCCAAGGAGCTCCTGTGATTAAGCCATCTTTGTCCAGCACGCTCACCTGGCAAGCTGCCACCGTTCTGTTCCACAGGATCATCTTCTCAGGCTGCAGAATAACCTCCTGGTAAACCGTTTCAGCAGAGCACTGCAGGAAGGCCTGGGGACAGAGCCAGAGCACTCAGCCAGCCCCCTGCTCCCCTCTCCCAAGATTATTTTTAAGGAACGCAGGGCAGATGACATCAGGGATATCAGGGGAAGGGAGCCTGGCCTGGCTCACACACGTGCAAAGCAGAGGCTGTCACAGTGCTCTCGTTCCCAGGAGCCTGGGGGGCACATGGGGAGGCAGAGGACAGAGCAGAGCCCAGGTTTTGGCAGCTGCTGACCAGGTCTGGTGTCAGAGAGGGAAAATGTCTGTCTGTCTACAACATGGCAAGACAGATGGAGCTGGGGGCTGGCTCCAATCCCACCCTATCTCCCTCCACCCGCAGTCCTGCTGCAGGCCCATGGCTCCGGGAAGGTGCTGCACCCTTCCCTCCCCCACATCCCCACGGGGGGGGGGGGGAATCTTTGGAGGCAAAACAGTTAAACGCCTGGAACCATCCAGCTTTTCCTGGTGAACAGGGAGCTGCTCCATCGGAAGCTCTGCCAGCGAGGCAGCATATGCACTGGAACAAAGAGAAGCCACGGCAGCCCCGACGCTTCATTAACGTGTGGTTCCCAGCCAAGCCGCTCCGGCGCGGGGCCGGCAGCAGCAGACGCACGCTCAGCCCTGGTCTTGCTGGCAATTAGTTGCAATTAGCCTCCTTGGTCAGATTAGTCCTAGATGCTGGGGTTGGAAGCGAGTCTTTGCAATCACCTGCTCCCACTTCTACCAGCAGAGTTGGGGGCCCAGCGTGTTTGCTGGGGAGTTTGTCCGCCAGCCAAGGGGCTTTCCTGGAGAGATTCCCCAGAGCCTGCAGTGTAGTTCATCTGCCTCCAGCAAACCAGGGTGTTTGCAGCCTGACCTGTCCTGCCAGGGCCAGGAGAGAGGGTGAAAGCTGAGCCTGGCTCCCAGCAGAGCAGTCACCCTCTGCCACACGGGCTAAGGAAGTGATCCAGGGAAGTTCTTACCTTTAAAATAAAGGACTTGCCATGGAAAGGTATTTCAAAAGTGTAAACAACATCCCCAAAGTCCTGTGCAAGAAATAAGAAAGATTAGCAAGATAAATCCCTTCTCTCTGGGGTAAAGTCTGCATGCCTGGCCCATCGTGCTGAAGGTCCCTGTCCTGCCCTCCACTGTCGTCCCCCCAGCCAAGCAGGCACTGAACACACTTCAGATGCCCAAATTTCCATAAACAAAACAACATCCAGGGCAGCAGTGGTGATGAGACAGAAAAAGAACCCACCCCGTGCCAGCCTGCAAGCTCCACAACAAGGTCACATTCTCTTTGTAGAGAGAGCCACCAACACCAGGGCAGGGGCTGGTGGCCAACACTGCTGCTGGTACCTACATCTGAGGAGAGCCTCCCCAGAGGGGTTTAGGGATGGACAGATGATAACCTTTCATCATTAGCCCCGTGTTAAATCCTGATTAGTCTATTTAAATCCATCCCCCTTTGGATAAAGAAAACAATCTGCCCAGCTAGTTTGGCATCAGACAATGGATCACTTGACAGGGGAATTTTAAACACCAGATGAGACTGCAGTTTGCAGGACTCGCACCCCAACTGTGTTGTGAGCCCAAAAGCAGAAAGTGAGGCTGGTTTTAGGGGTACAGATGCTGCCCCTTCCTCTCCACCCTTCCAAGACGCTCTGGGGACCCCAGAAAACTCTACATGGCTCAGGGAATGAACCAGGGCAGTGGGAAACAGGCAGGGAAGGGCCAGTGCTGCCTGGAGCAAGAGCTGTGACTTGCAGAGCCCTTGGGCTGCAAAGCTGCAAGGCAGAGACATCCCAAATTTACACTCCAGCACACACAAGGTCCCTGTCCTGAGGAAGGGGGGACACAAATGGCCTTGGGGATGGGAGGAACAGTCTGTGCCCCCCTTTTCTACTCCCACATGGGCCAAAGCTGCCCAGACAGGCCTGGTCTCCCCTGCCCAAGGCACATTGCTGTGGATCAAGGGCTGAATCTGCATCAGTGGGACCCTCAGTGTGCCCCCCACTCCCCCTATGACCCCATATCCAAACAACCACCCAAGGTGAGCTGGCCACCCCCACCAATTGGGGGTGAGGGGGGAAAACGGGCTCCCTCCTGTCACACAGGAAGGCAATTAAACATCTAATTAAATAAGAGGGGATTTTACATTTAACTGAACTGGAAGAGATTCCTAATTCAATCAGGTAATTGTAACACTTGTTAATTTTTCATGTCACAAGGAGGTTTCAAAAGCCTTGTTTGTCCTCCTGGTTTTGCTAAACCACCCGTGTTCCCTGTGGCAGGGGGGCAGGTGGGGAGGGGGGCACAGTACTTACATTATTTTTCTCAAACTTCCAGTTCTCCTCCTGGGCGAGGATTTGGTCCACAACCTCCATGGCATCCCTGCCCTGCCGGACATACTCTCTCTCCTAGGAGAGAAGGGCTCCATGAGCTGGGTGGGAAAGGCCTGTTACCCACCTCCCAGGGCTGGCAGAGGGAAGAGGGGATATCTCCCATCACCACACCACAAAAATCTCTTAATTTGGGTCACAGGGGCCTCATTTTGGAGCTCAAAGTCACATTCCCCACCCTGGCTTGGATCCACACACCAGCTGCATCTACCAGCCCAGCTCCTGCCTTAAGGCAGGGGTTTCTAGCAGGCAAAGGGCTCCGAGATGCCTGGAGCTTCTTCCTGTGGAAGGGCCAGAACCAGGGCTGGACAGCAGCAGAACCACCTGGAAAAGGGCTGGGAACAGCCTGTGCCCAGCCAGGCCTGTGGGAGGTGAAGGACAAGCCATGGTTCAGCCAGGTGAGGTGATGCCCTTCCCAGGATGTGACCGTGTAACCAGGGATGGGAGAGGGAAGGGGACAGAGGGACATGCTGCCTGCTCACCTGAGCTGTCAAGGCCTTCCTCCCTGTGCCCTCCTCGTCCGACTCGTTGTCTGACCCTAGGGGGGGCCACAATTAACACACAGTTGATGAAGGCCCTGCTAGTACAACCTCCCTTGGACAGTATCTGATCCCAATGATCCCAGACTGGTTTGGGTTGGAAGGGAACTTAAAGATCATCCAGTTCCAACCTACCCAGAGCCACCTGATGGGAAGAGCTGTCAGAGGGGTGGTCCTGCCAGCCCAGGCCCCAGATGAGTGGGCAGGTTCTGCTGCCTGGGAGGCTGAGCAGGAGCTCATGTCACCTCCCGTTGCACAACTGACATCCCCTGGCTCCCAAGCAGCAGAGCTCTCTGGAGCTGGCACGTGGCAGTGTCACAGGGCAGTGACTTGCTGCCAGCTCCTCACCTGCTTGTGGCAACTCACCCCCATGCCCTCATACCAAGTTCTTCACCCACAGCTAAAAGCATTTAATCCCAAGACCACAAAAGGCTCTGGTTTCCCACAGGGCCCAGGCCAGAGACATGGGGCTGAGCTCTGCAAAGGGCACAGAGACAACGTGGGGAGGAGGTGATGATGGAGGTGAGGAGACCCAGGAGGAATGGAGGGGAAGGAGGTGGGGAAGGGAGGCAGCCCAGCTCACCTGCAAAGGACTCTGGTGGGGAGTAGAACTGCCCCTCGGAAAGGGCTCTGGGGTAGAGCAGGGGCCCACGAGCAGCTGCAGCCTGAGCTGCCAGGTACCCTGAGGAGCAAAGCACCAGGTCTGGCACACGGGGAGTCCAACACTGAGGGGTCCCAGGGTCCCCCAGCCCCTCCACCCCCAGCTCAACTGCCCTCCCAGCTGCTCTCTGGTCCAGACACAGCCAGTCTGCTGCACTGACACCAACCAGCCCACAAGCTTTTCAGCTCCTATTGCCTCATCTTTTGTTTGAGACATTTTATCTGCATGGAGATCAATGGGCTCTTTTGCCTGTCAAATCCAAAGGCGATTAAGCATCTAATTAAATAAGAGCTTCCCCTGGAAGCAATTTGGAACCTGAGCCTAATCCAATAGAGGCATTAAACACTTGATCATTTTTCATCTTAAAGCCTCCTTGCAAGACCCAAACATCCTCTGGTGTTTTCCAGCCAGTCACTGCATTTCTGATCGAGCCCTGCTTGACAAACACTCCTTCATTACGTGCCATTTCCCACCCCTTGTTTGTCAGCTAAGCCCAGGAGATCCACAAACTCCTTTTGCTGCTTTAGGAACAGGCACCCCGTGCCAGGCCAGGCTGAGCACCCGCTCCCTAGAAGGAGCCCTGGCAGGTTGAGATGCCCAGCACCACCGGGTGGTTTGCAAAGCATTAGGTCAGCCTCAATCTCCATGTAGTCTGACCACAGGCTGTAAAATTTCACACCCCATAACTCACACCACGCCCCTGTAACGTGTCTGTGACTGGAGCAATCCTCTCCCAAAGGTCTCCAGTCCAGATCCAAAGACAAATACCCAGGGACAGAGAGTCCAAGAACCTGGCATTTGTCCCACTATTTCAAAACATTTTCCCTGCTGTGGAGGTGAGCTCTGTTTCCAACATGCCTGGCTTCAGGATCCAGGCACTGGGGAATCTGGCACGTTTTTTTCTCCGCTCTATTAAAACATGCTTTTTATAGTCTGGTATATACCATAACAGAATTAAGTCAGGCACTTGCAGTCACAGCCAGCCTGGAGATCACTTCTCCATGAATGTCATCTCTGTCAAGGTACTGCCAAAGCAGCAGAAACCCCAGCCCTGGTAGTTTCATCTACCAGCTCCTACCAGAGAGGAGCAAAATACTCACATCGTTCCTCTTCTGCTTCCTGAGATAGGACCTTGAAATCCAGGAACCAAGTCTCTAGCCAAGCAATGACAAAGGAGACGATGGGAAGTAAATAGCCAAAAGCCCCTTTGGTCAGAAGCTGCGTGGAAGAAAACAGGGAGTTCACAGGGGTGGGAAACCAGCAGCATCCCAAAGGAACCCCCCGTGAGCCCAAGGAAACCAACCTCAGAGAGGATGACCTTGACAATCAGGAAGGCACTGGATACCAGTGTAGTGACCTGAAAAATGAATGTATGTATCTCAGGATCCCTGCAAACCCCGGGTGGAGGGAGGGAGGTGAGAGCAGGAAACAGGAATGGCCTCCTTACCGCGATGACCCACCAGTGGCGCAGCCGGACCAGGGCGTAGGCCAGGAGCAGCACCGCGAAGCGGAAGAAAGCCAAGACCTTGGAAAGCAAGAGGCCATGGACACCAGTCACTGCCTGTGCCCCTCTGCCAGGTGCTGGGGTCGAGGCTGTGACAAGTGGGCTGCAACTGGCCCAAACTTGCTGAGCCAGGCGAGGGGCAAAGCCGTGGGGAGACCCCAGTGCCAGAGCTGCTCCCTCACCTGCCGCGCTCTGGGATACTCACAAATATATCAAAGAAGGAGCTCTTGAAATGGTAGCAGATGATTTCACTCTCCAGGTTCTTCTGAATGCCCTCCTTGGTCTGCAGGGGAGGCAGGAAGGCAGAAAGCCATTGAGTGCACTGATAAGAAACTAATGGCAGAGAGAGCCCAGCCAGGCACTGACCGGGGTTATCGCTGGGGCAGGGGACGCATCAGGAATACAAATGCCACGGGCTGCTCTGCCAGCACAGGCCCACGGGAGGGAGAAATGGCCCATTTCACCCTCGGTTCCACACCGAGGAGCAGGAGCTGGGCAGGCAAAGCTGGAGCAGCACGTGGGTACATTAAACATTCCTACGTGGGAGGTTTCTAGCACCGAGCGCTCAGCACAACCAGCACCACCGATCACAGCACTCCCAGCCCAAAGCCCCTGGTCAGACAACACCTCCCACTCGTGGCCACCAGTTCCCTGGGTGGCTTTGGGTGACAAGACTGCAGCTGTGCAGGATGAGAGTGGGGGGAAAAAAAGTTTAAAACCCCAGGGAACAGCTTCCCTAGCACCTTCAGAATGAAGTGCCTCCTGCAGCTGGATAATCAAAACATCTCTCAGTGCTCACTCAGCAACCTGGTGGAATTTTAAGGATCCCCTCTCCCTTCTTCCAAGCCAGCTGGCTCCCCATGGCTGAGCTGCCCTCCAGGAAATCTGACAGGGGAAGTCAAGCAGCAGTTTCAAATGGGCTGGCAACGGGGAAGAGGGAGGAGAGGAACACGAGGGACAGGAACAGTGCACAGGGATTTGAGAGAGGCAAAATCACATTCTGGGATATTGTGCAGGGGTGTGGAAAACGCTCACAGAAGAGCTCTCTTGCCTCACCCCGAGACAATCTGGGGTCTGACAGCCTTGGTACTTTTGTCACCATAAATCCTGTTCTCGGAAGCCTGGAATGAATGTTTATGAGGAAGTGGATGGCTCAGGTAACTGGAACAAATGCTTCACCTTTAGGCTATTGGTTTGAGTGCAGCCCAGCTGGCCAGCACGCTGCTCCAGCCTGACAGCTGTTCGATGAGCTGTGAGAAACAAGTTGGTGGATCTCAGGCCAGTTCTTGGCAGCCTGGTGTCCTGGTTCCCTCTCGTCAGACAGTCCAAGGACAGAAGAGGCAGCCACTGGGAAACAGTCCCTCTAGGTCAGGGCTGGTGCTTCATATTCAGAGGAAGGGGGAGGAGGGCAGAGCAGCTCTGCACCATCGCTCGATCGGATCTGCAGCTACGGGACTCGTACCAGCTGAGCTGCCACCAAAACCCTCCTCCCCATCCCACAACTCCCTCAAGACACCCTGCAGGAGACACAGGGAAGGCTATGGCTTGTGATTTTGGAGAAGAAGAACCCATTGGAGGCACCTCCCTGTCCCCAGGAGCAGCAAGCTGGCAGAGCTACAGTTTGAGGCAACAGACATTTAACCAGGGCCAATTTGCTCTGCTTATCTTTGCAGCAAAGGAAACGGTTTGATAAAAAAAGCATTAGTCATGATAGAAAATCGTTGCTCTTCATAACTAGGCAAATAAGCTGTCCTAATAGCTTTAAATATGCAGCATCTCAGCTCAGGGCCCAAATATCAGCAGTTAGTCACTCATTAATGGCTACCTGCAAGACCTACGCTCGCAGTCACCCTGGTGACCGTGCTGGCAGATTGTCTCCCGGGGGCTGAATATTTTGATTTGCAGACAGCTCCTCTCCAGAGAGCCCAGAGAACAGGAGCAGGAGGCCAGGGTCCAAGCCAGGTGCCCAGGACACCATCAGCATCCCTGGAATGCTGGCCCAGAGATGCTTTTTCCTAGCTGGGGGGAGGTGAGGGGGTCTCTTCAGGCTCTCTGTGGCCGGGCAGGGAGAGCAGGGAGCTGCTGGCTGTGACAATCTGTTAAGTGCAGACACTCAGGAGATAAACAGGGCAGAGATAAGAGCTGCTAAGTGAGCACAGGATCCAGTGCTGATAAACAAAGGCCAGACACAGCAGGACCAGGCTCTATCTGCTCATCTCTGCTCAGGTTGTTCCAGGGAGGACACGTAGTGCCAGGAACCCAGCACAGCTGAAACCAGTCCAGACCAGTTCAGGAAAAATACAAACAAAATTCAGCCCAGGGAGTAACTTTGACCCGGTGGGATTGAGGTCAATACACTGGATTTCCCCCTGGTGGCTGCAGCAGCTGACCCAACCCCTCCTGCTCCCCTTCCTTATCCCCTGCAGCACCTCCCACTTCCAGAGGCCGAGGCTGGCCACAGTCTGCTGGGAACAAAGCTCCCAGCTGCTGGGAACAAAGCTCCCAGCTCCTTTATCTCTGCCCAGCAGCTTGGGGGGCTGGGGGTGAGAGTCAAAGAGAGATGGGGGTTGGAAGGGATCGCTGAAGATCATCTAGTTCAACCCCCTGCTAGAGCAGGGTCACCTACAGCTGATCCCACAGGAACGTGTCCAGGGGGGTTTGGGATGTCTCCAGGGATGGAGACTCCAAAACCTCTCTGGGCAGCCTGTCCCAGGGCTCTGCCAACCTGACAGTGAAGAACTTTTTCATCATGTTCAGCTTGAACCTCCTGTGCTCCAGCTTGTGCCCACTGCCACATGTCCTGTCACTGGACACTGCTGAAAATAGTCTGGTCCCACCCTCCTGACAGATACTGATCAGCACTTAGGAGATGCCTCCTCAGCCTCCTCCTCCACAGGCTGACCAGCCCCAGCTCTCCCAGCCCTTCCTCATGGGGCAGATGCTCCATCCCCCTTATCATGTGTGGTGAGAGGAGGGTCTGCACGTTCCCCCTGCTCCATGGATGTTGGGAGAAGGGCTCAGCAGCTGCTCAGCCAAGGCAGCCAGAGGCTCCACCTAAGGCCAAGGGAGCAGGAGGGAGACCTGGCCAACTGCAGGACCTGTGATTCCACAGGCCCCAGATCTCATTACAGGACAGCACAGGAGGATGTTAATGACCCTGGAGAGCCACAACAGAGCCTGGCTGCAGGAAACGAGCTGGGCTGGAGTTTGTACTGACTGTGCAGGAGCTTCAGCCAGTGCCAATCCAGAGAGCACTGGGAAGAGCAAACAAAGCCTTGGCTCAAGGCTTGGGACACGGAGCAATTAATGCAGAGGGAACTCAATTAAAACAAGGACCAAGACTGCACGGGTTGGCTCCCCCCAGCTTACGTTCAACTCGATGATCCACAACAAGGAGATGAAGAGCAGGTCGAAGGTGACGAAGAGGCAGAAGGTTCTCCTCACATCTGAGATGGCTTTCCTCTTCTCCGGGGAGAAGTAGCAGTATGGGGAGAAGCCCTGGCTCTGGGACAGGGAGGTGCTGATGGAGGCAATGGCTGGGAGGCTTCGTTCCAGCTCCGTTGGTTTGCTCATCCTTGGCCCAAGCCTCCTGGGGCCTACGTCAGTCGGGGCAACATCTGCCAAGCAGGGCTTCACCTACAGAGAGACACAAAGGGGACTTTCAGGTCTCCAGATTTCCCTTTTTTTCCTCCCTTCTTCCCAAATCAGATCTTGTCTGGTTTACAGTTCCTGAGGGAAAAGGATAATTCTGGCTGTTGTGCTGGCAAAGAGCCTCCCCCTCTGAAGCAAAGACACCCTGGGCTGCTCCTCCCGGCACCCACATTAAGCACAGACACAGACCTTCCCTCCTCAGATCACCACAGGAAAGGAGGAACTGGCTGGGAATAGCTTGGGAGGGTCCTCCGAGCCACCAGTGAGTGTCACCAGGAGCCAGAGGCAGCTGCCCAGAACGTGCTGGCAGCACAGGCAGCCAGGCTGGGGCTGCCGCCACGGGC